ATACGAAAAATGATGATACCGTTTATCAAAATCTACAAAGAATATCCATAAAACGTAACACAAAAGTCGTTAGGATTCACTTATATTTTTTTCTACTCCCGTCTGTATGTATGCAACACGTTCGGTAAACTTTTTAACTCACTCGTTTATTAAAAACTTGCTCCGCTGTGCTCCGCTCGTGTCAAATACACTCGTGAGTCAAATGCCGTTTGCCGCACTTGTTGCATAATATACTATTAAAATAATATATTGCTATTTAGAGGGTGTTTGTATTTTCGTGGACGAGTAAAAACTTTCCTGTTTCAAATGGAGCGCCCTGTATATTAAGGCATTTTTCAAATCCCCGGAACTTTCTAAACCTACTTACCGTTTCTGTCATATTTTCAATTTTATGTCAAAAGTGACGTTTGAACGTCTAGACATATCTATCGATTTATTCGACACACAGCTTTTCTTATATATTTGGGGTTGATTTCCTAACAGAAGGGCTCTACTTTAGTAATACGTGTTCATATTATAAAAATTAATAAATACAAGGTGATCAAAAAGAAACAAATTATAAAAATACCTTTTTTTCAAATCGAAATACCGGATTTTTCAAATGTTATCGTATTGCTCATTTAAAATAAGGGCGACTTAGTATAAGTACTTAGTAATAAAACATTTTTTCATTATAAAAGTGCTGTGAACGACGAAACATTCTAAAAGTGAAACGATTGAGCACTACAGAAGTGTCACTATTTTGTATTTCTTTGGGTTTGGAAATCAATGTTCGACAGTTTTGTGCAACCTAACTTAGTCATTTTTTATTGTTATTTTAGGTCTATAAAAGATTTTCTAAAGAAAATGAAGATTGAAGAAAATCCTAAAAGCAAATAAAACAACTTGAAAAGACAGTTTATTATTTGCAACAATTAGAAAAAAATATGAAAATGAAATTTTCTTGTCAGAATCCTAGAATTCTGAAATTTTTTTATTAATCATTTAAAAAAGTGCTTCTCGTAGGGTTTTCTCGATCTGGATATCTTTTAGCAAATGTGCTAAAATTTTTTAATAAAATTTGTTTTATTTTTAGACATTAAACAAAAAACATTTGTTTCGCCAACTTAATTAAAATGTCAAACGACAGTAAATAGTAGTTGTTTCGTTGATACGTTTGAAATAGGAAAACTTATTCAGTCACAATTTTTATAAATGCCATATATGATAAAAATAGGGTGTTTCCACTGGAAAAATAGACTTTTTACAATTTTTTCATTCAAATTTTTTAATGTTTTTGGTCACCTAGTATTTATTTATTTTTAGAATATCAAAAAACATACGATTAAAGTACTCCTTCTATAAGGAAAACAACCTCAAATTTACAACAAAGGCTTCCCAGTCGTAGAAACTGTGGGAGGTATAAGTTAATTATATACAAAATGTCTAAAAAAATCCTTAATGACTTAATCTAGAAGGCGTATTATTTAATAATAAATATATAATATATAATATTATATATATATAATATATAATATATAATAAAGTTGTTCACGAAAATACGGCTGCATATACAGAAACATAATATATTAAAAGTGTAAGTGAATCAAACAACTTTTGTTTTACTTTTTTTATATTCTTTACACATTACGAGATAAGGTATCATCCCATAATGACACAATCAGTCACTGAATATGAAACCAAAACCAAATATGAAATTATTATTAACAATTCGCACTTACTATATATGCAGGAAGAGTTTATCTTACAATTCGCAAAAACAATTCCTTTCAAACACTAACTCAACATTTCTTCAGTTCTTTTATGTTGTTCCAATTAGCAATTCACTTCTATAATCACAAATTTTTTCTGTCAATTCATTAATACTTATCGAATTAAATTAATATCTGTACATGTAACGTAAAATTGAAATAAATCAATATTTGCAAAAATTGAGACCTCCACTGGCCTCCCTCTCACAGAGTTGAAACCGAACTAACTTCCTTTCATTTAATAAAAATGTTGCAACGTTTTTAGTGGTAATTTTAAAAATCTCAATGTTACGAGACCAACGTCTGACCCATTTCCTCGACATTGCGAGCGTTCTCTTTTTTTTAATCCTTCGTAGTTTCCACTCTTTTGAAGTTCTTTCGATTTACGAGTCGCTGCTCTCAGATTATGCTCGAATTTACTATACGTGATAACTGAGGCAGGGGTGATTTATATTTTATTGAAGTTGCTGAATAATAACTGTTTATTAAAATTATCGCTATTGTCATTATGGTTATGCTTACCCAATAGCTACTTCTGTTGCTATACTAGGTTTGCTTTCGCGTTAGTTTAAAACTGGCTTGGTATGTTAGGAGTGTACGCTATTGATCGTTACCGTATAAGTTTGAACCTGGTTGCAAACCAGTAACCTGTTGTTCCCGCATCATTTCCTAATCTTCCCCCAAAATATTGGCAATAATTACATTATTATAAACATTTTCTTTGCAAAAGTAAAAAATTTAAGCACAGTTTCAAAAATACCAAAAATGGATTCCTCATATCGACATGAATATTCAGTTTTATCCGAAACTGACGACTCCGATTTAGAAATTCTTTTAGAAGAAAAAATAGGATCAAACAGCCAAGTATCTTCGGAAGGAATTGTTCCCCAATTTAATGAAACTGAATATATGGAATTATCGGTAATTCTTCTTGAATCTTACACATAAATTTATGAGATAATATTAAACTTGATAGCATTTGTAGTCACGCTATTATTAAAGTAAAAAGAAACGATCTGCTTTTCTTCTTCTTCTATAATTTAAGATTAAGTTATAAATTGAAGTCTACTGTTTTTACATCTATTCGAAACGAATTTCGGATATCCCTCAAGCTTGAGATGCACAGAAGTACGTTTGAAAAATTGTATCATACACCTTCAATTAGCTTACTCGTAAATAAACCGTGAATGTACCCTAGATCTGCACTTACGTCTGCAGAACCGACGTCACTACGAGCAACGTTGCCAGTATTCCACATTTTTTCTTGTTGACAGATGGTAGTTTAGGAACGCTTTGGTTTGTAAGGTTCGTTTTTATTTTTAGTTTAGATCGGAGGTGGCTAAACCTAAACTAACCAACGCTGGCCAAAATTGCCACAATATTAATTTTTTGGCGTAAGATAAATCTCTCTGGCTCAGGAAAACTATTTTTTACTTAGTTTGGGTTAGACTTTGCTCCTTTGCAACCTATAATGGAACACTGAGTTGAAATTAATTGAGGAAATGTTGATTTTTATTTTAATAGACATCTCTGTCAAAAATTAGAATAACCTCTAAGAAAGCAAAATCATGTCCTGATTTAATTCCTTGCCGCTGCTTCAGTTCGTAGCATCTGACAACGTCGCGAAAACTTGCCCAGGATGTTTAGACGCAAGTGTAGACCTGCAAGCCTCGATGGGTGATGCCTTTGATGCTAGTTTTTTGAAGTTTGAAGGTTTGGGTTGGCAAGTCTTGTGCAATCCGAAAGACTAGTTGCTGTCAAACTTCCATCAAGTATGCTATGCTATTCGGACGCAAATATGGTTGATACAGATATCGACATGCATGTTGCTATATATTTTCGATATTTTTGCATGGTCTACAGCTGTCCCTAGTTTGAAAAGTTTTACTTCTTAACCAAAACAAACGCGCGTGAGCCGGCGTAGATATACAATACCGCGAAGCCGAGAAAACTAGTTTCGCTTAAGAAGAACAATGTTGCGTAAAAAAATGTCGAAAGTCGACTCGTATGTAACTTTTGGACGGTTTAGATTCAAACGAGGTTGGTCGATAAACAATCCGATGTTTGTAAAGCGTTTTGCGAGCACAGCCCGCGTGATTGATTGCGTTTTCGCTTTTTTTTTCGCTCATTCGTTTCTCGTCGTCCGTGGACGCCGTAGATGATTGTTGCCACATTTGAAAGTATCTGCCCGAAACGATTTTCATTACCGATCAACCTGATAAATTAGAAATTTTTTGTAAAATTTATTCGGGATCTTTTGTTTCTAGTGCACAAAAATATACCATACTGATATGTAGCATAGAAACTACAACAGCCCTTGTTATAGTAGAAAGAAAAGAAGAGAAAGATGAAAACACTAACCAAAACAAACCCAAACCAACAAACCAATCTAACCTAACCAAAAGTAACCAACCGACTTAGTATTTTGCTTAGCACTTTCTGCACTTAGGTAGATCATATACTAAAAGGGCACCAAAATGTTTGTCCCAGTCTGTTTACAAATAAATAGACATGTACTTTCACAAAAGACGAACGGATTTTATTATTATACAATTTTGCTTAGAACTGTTCTGTAAGAAGTACCGTTTGCTATGAATTAAGAAAATTTGAACGAGATACCTGAGGTTGGGATGTGCTTTCAGGAAACTTGAAACAGGATTGTCCTGAACGCTAACAGTAAGATTGCGCTAACAAGACAGAACCGGTAATTTTCAGTTGCCCACACATTTTTTGGTACATTGAAGGCTGGTAAAAATTGCCGTTCTAAAGAAATTGTCGCCAAGGAAGCTGAGAAAGGCGCCAACTTCATGGAGCGTAAGACTACGCTTACTACAGGCGTTATGGTTTGAGATGAGACTACGTTACCTAGTTTTTTTGGACGAAGGGATCATGAATGCTATGAATGCCAAATTAATGAGGTGTTACAAACATGGATATGGTATAATAATCACGTCTTATGCTGAATGTACAACATATAGGTCATAAGATAAGATTATCCCGAGGGAACTTACCACAGACGGCTATCAATAATCTGATTAGCAATATGCCACGAAAAGTTGCAGAACATCAAAAATTACGTGGAGACGCAACTCACTATTGAATATTGAAGAACTTATTTCAATAGAATTTTTTCAAAATGTGGGTTGTTATATTTATACCAACTACTTCCAAAAATTATTAATAAAATATATATAAGTTTGCTTAATGCGCAGCCAAGTAACTATGATTTCTAAAGCTTTCGCAACTTACAGTTTTGTGAGCGAATAGGGCAGGTGATCCGGTACCCGGATGAACCCGGCCGCACGGCAGTAAAACTCGCGCAAGTCAGGGGTACAACGGCACCGATCCTCGCCAAAAAGCGGACACGGTGATAGCGACTCCTGTTGGACAGCCACGGCGCTGCTGGACACTCTCAGCAGCAAGGTAAACACAAGATGAGCGGTCCACAGTGTATCTGTAAGCAAGCATTATATATAAACAAGATGAGGTATAATTTGATATAATAAAGCATTTTTCGGTTTTTGTGGTGTGTGTTGTAATTTTAATTGGGTCTACTGCAGGGACCGATAACTCAAAGGACATTTTTGGATTGTGTTTACATTCAAACTAGCAAAATAAAAGCACTTCCTATGAAATTAAGGGTCAATTAAGTGTAGGAGGCCAAGTTGTATATGAGAACAACGCAACTTCCAATTTCAATGTAGAGTAATATTTCGTCCGCTAGAGGTCTCATTTATATCCATGGTTTCCACCAGCAAAATCGGCAATGACCAACATTTTTCGGACAAGACAACGCAAGGACAGACTCTATTCAATTTCAATTCAATGGTTCAGTTTTATCAAAGTTTAAATATGCAGTTGTTGATATATTTTTGCTTAGAAACGTATTGAAATAGGAACACTATTTAAAATAAAAAATAATAAAATTAAAAAAAAAAAACTTAAATAATAACGCGTATTTAATATTCTCTGATTAAAACTAAACACTAGATTTCCATATGAAATTTTAAAAGCACTTTTTAGTTTTAGTTTATTTTTGAAGGTTATTACAATGCAAATATCTCGAAAACGGTATATTTAATCAAAGCAAATGTACCACATATATATTTTTTGCTTAGAAATGGGATATATCAGTAACAAGAAAGTTGTGTAAAAAATATAATATAAATAGATATGTAGATATCTCAAAAACAGCTTCAGCTATAAAGCTAAATAGCTAGTAAGTGAATAAGCTAATAAGCAACACTTTGCCACTAAGGCTTGTTTTTCTCAATATCATTATTTTCATTGCGGATCACTCTCATAAAATTCATTTTGGCAGGTCGTGGCAGCCTAGTCCGCATCCTGGGGGATAATATACTAAACTCATATTGTGAACTATTGCCTTTACATATAAAAATATTATTTCTTATTGTGAACTAACAAAACACATTAACACATTGCCGAAGATACGCTGCCCTCAATTAACACAAAAAGTTAGCGATATACCAATTGTTTATAAGTTCACTATAAGTTCACAGCTGCATTTATTAGAAGGTTATGGCAACACAAATTTCATGAATTTGGAATATTTGAATTTTATAATTTTTGTGTGCGAGTGACGAAAGTAGAAAATATAAAATCTATTAAGGATTATTTTAAAGAATTAATTGAACTTTCGGCACAGAGTGTATCTCGGTGCGAGGTTGCTACCAAGTAAGTCTCGGGTGCTCGGAGCGAAAATGTAATGAGATTTTCAACCGGAGTAGTTCTTTGCCGGTTACGAGATCAGATTAAACAACGGCGGCTTTGTAAAATTTTTACTCTGGATTTTGAGCGGAGAAATATAATAATTCTGAAACGTATGAGCGAGTATCTGGGCACAGATGAAATAAACAACAAAAGGCACTAGAAATTCTTTGAAATCCGCCTCGTCATCTTCGTTGCTTCCCCGTTTTAGCTACCCATTGCATTAATTATTATTAATTTGTCATAGAGATGTAAACAATTGCAACTCGCGTCGTCACTAAAGACGAAATGCCCTCATCTTGACACCATTAAAACTAATAATAATTTTTTCTTAATTCGGTTAATTTTGCATTTTTTTAAATATTTATTTACAAGGAATTAGTTAATTAGTTAGTTATTAGTTATTAGTTATTATTTTAAATATATTATCTTGTTTTCTCGTTCTCCCATGAGCACATTAGTGTTTCAGTTTGTAATTTATTTATTATATTTTATTTTATTATTTTTTTATTTATTTATTACATAACATCAACTTGGGGAGTCCAGTCTTTGTATTTAAGTTTTTGATACTTATTTAATAGAGTCATACCACTCATTTAGTCGTGATTTACCTTATATTTAGTTAAATATCAAAAATTACAAGTTGATTATCAAATTTATACCAAGAAATATTGCTGCATTTTGTAATAAAAAATATGTTGGTTTCAGAAGATTTTGTTATTTTTGCACACCAATTTTCTGAGAGCTGCAGTGAAAATGTCAATATCGGCCTCACTCTAAAACTCCAATGCATTAAATTTACAAAAAATAAATCAGTATTTTGATATTATTTACGTAATTATTTTGTTGTCACAAAAATTGAAAAAGAAAATCGGACATTTTCCCATTTTTCAAGAACTATTGAAACATAGCTTAAATGTACATATTTGGCTAAATATTTGCGTACTTAAATATTTTATATTTTATAATTTTATTTTATACAAATATTTAAAGACAATACTGTTTAATTACCAAACAATATTGTATAAATATTTTCAATAATATATTATGCAACAAGTGCGGTAAACGGCATTTGCCTCACGAGTTTTTAATAAACAAGTGAGTTAAAAAGTTTACCGAACGTGTTGCATACCATACTTTTTCTACGACCGTTAGTTTTTGGATACATTTTCGCAAAACAACATAAATACATTCACTGACATGACCGTCAGAATTGACAAACGTCAAAATTCAAAGCGTGGGAAATATCTCCGAAAACATCCGATCGCCCCCAAATCCGTGCGGTAAAATCCCGGAAATGTCCGAAGTGGCTCGGATTTGTGGGAAACGAAACTGACGTGGTAAAGTGACGCTTCCCGCACGCTAGATCGGTGCGTAATTAGGCATTTTACAGATGGGAGTAGAAAAAAAGTTTTCACAACTTTTACAACTTTTACTATTTTACAAATATTACTATAAGAACCCCTACAACATGACACGAGAATCAATAATATCAGCAAACAAAATAATTTATTAATAAAAAAATGTTTATTACAAAAAATATTTTTTGGGAACAATACTGGAAAGCAGTTGGAGCAAATAATTTTAAAACTTCAGTAACATAAACTAAATAAATAAATGAAAATACTTGACCTGTACTCACTATAAAAATAATATATAACAGAAGATCGGTGGGTAATTAGGAATTTTACAGACGCGAGTAGAAAAAATATTTGACGGCGATAATCTTGTGTATGTAGAATACCTACTATAATTTCATGCTGGTGTCAATTAATTTTTTTTTAAACCAAATTCTCGTGTGTGTGTATATGCGTACGGTAATGAGAAAACAATTTTTTTTTGGAAAAGTAATGATGATTTTTTTTCTAAATAAATACAAACTCGTCGAAATAAAATACTTTAAACAGAAAATTTAAAATTTTCCCATTTGTCAAGAAATAAAAAATATTGGCAAAATGTAAATTCAAAACTTTATTGTTTACGAATATTTAGAGAAAATATTTGAATGAGCAAGAGAAAGAAAACAATGCCCATTACTAACCGCCATTTTCTATAGTAAAATTTGCCTCACTTTTCTATCACATAGTTACTATTCACTGCTTACAAGTATGACTCTATCGGTAGATGACAACAAATTTTAATCCGCGATTTGGCCAAAACGACGGCTAAACATGTGCGAAGAAAGAGCCTTATCGAAACCTGACGGGGTAATACGTACATCTGTCGTATGGCACGCGAAAGTTGATCACCGATAAGCGAGGACGACGATTGCCAAACGGCCGCATGCTGATGACGGCGGTCCGTCTGGCGTGCACTCTTCGTAAATCGCGCACTCTGCGTACTCGCGGCCGTCGCGACGCTGACTTGGCTTCGACGCGCGTCTCGCGTTCGCCGAAGGACTACTGAACTCGCGGTCGGCTCTCCGGCTCTGACGCTAGACCCACGGCCCGCTTGATGGACCGGTTGGGTTCGGGGCTTGTCCAACCGCGGGCGCATCATCCGCGCCAGCCAGTGCTTGAAAGAAGCGCTATTTTTTTTTCGATCACGCATCAACTATAGCCATGTCCGAAAGAGGCTCCCACGACTGCCCAGGGTACAGGGTATTCGAAAATAATAATGTTTTATATGCTTCTTCTTGTAGTACTTGTACATTATTAGCTATAGAACATTTAACGATAAAAATGAAATTTTAAATCTCTCGCATCAAAACAATTCTTCATGGTTGTATTATCGGTATAGGCAGGGCCTAAATATCTCTAGGAGCTGTAAACGGTAAACGGCATTTAAATCACGAATTTATTTGGCACGAGCGGAGCGAGTGTTTGATAAACGAGTGACTTAAAAAGTTCACTGAACGTGTTGCATACTACATTTTTACTACATTTTTGCAAAACAACACTAATACATTCACTGAAATGACCGTCAGAATTGAAAAACTTCAAAATTCAAGTCGTGCAGTTAAATATTCCGGAAATATTCCGGAAATGTCCGAAATGGCCGTGGGAAATAAATCTGACGTGGTGAAGTGACGCTTCCCGCACGCTAGATCGGTGTATAATTTGGTATTTTACAGAAGGGAGTAGGAAATAGTATATTATGCAACAAGTGCGGTAAAGGGCATTTGCCTCACGAGTGTATTTTACACGAGCGGAGCGCAGTGGTGCGAGTGTTTAATTAACGAGTGACTCGAAAAGTTTATCGAGCATACTCAACTTTTTCTACAACCGTTAGTTTTTGGGTACATTTTCGCAAAACAACACGAATACATTCACTGACATAACCGTCAGAATTGACAAACGTCAAAATACAAGGTGTGGGAAATATCTCCGATTGCTCCCAAACCCGTGCGGTAAAATCCGAAGTGGCTCTGATCCGTGGGAAACGAAACTGACGTGGTAAAGTGACCCTTTTCGCACCCTAGATCAATGTGCAATTAGGCATTTTACAGATGGGAGTAGAAAAAACTTTTTTTTTCGGATGTTTTTATGTGATGTGTCTTTCGGCTGATTCACTAGTAAAAAAAAACACTCTAGATAAGATTTTAATGAAGTTTGGCTAGGACGCCAGTTATCCCGGTAATAAAAAGACAGCGTTTATTTACCACTTCAAGGAATGTGGATTTTGCATAGGAAAAATCTAATGTTAGAGTAGCAGGACATTTTTGATGAGACATGGATTAATAAAGGTTGCATAGCACCCAGAATGTGACAGGACAAAAATATAACCAGTTCTCGCCAAGCTTTCAAAAAAGCAGGAAACAGGAAATTATCGACTGGTTAAACATAAAAATATTGAAGCTGAAGATAATTTGATAAAGAAGGAATTTACGTATAGCAAATTTACCCAAACATCATTTTATAAAACACAAAGAGTAACTGTGCTGCCACCATTGCGAACTTAATCAAATAGATCTTATATGGACTCATTCATAGCGTCATTAAAAATTAAAGCCCTTAAGCTACCGTTTGACCAAGCCATGGAAGAAGTGATTCCAGCGAAAATTGGTGACAAGCAGTCTCGCATGTCAATAAAGAAGAGAACAAGAATATGTAATATATACATAATTCGAAATTTTTATTCTGCTAAAATAAAATTCCTTTCCTTTTACTATTTTCCTACCGGCACGATTTAGGCACATCATTTCTCGCCTTCGTGAATGAATAACAGTAGGCAAAACCCATAAATTAACTCAAACCTTGGTACCAGCTGCACTCGATAAAAAAAAAATTGAGCCTCTTGGAGATAGAATCCTAAAGATGGTTTGCGCACGATAGTCAGAGGCGTTTGGTAAATATTGCAACAATTTTTTCCTGAAATATTTTTCAATTTTTGAAAATAAAGTTTTCATAAAAAAGGGAGTCGTTACTATACTCTGAAATACCCAATTATGGGCTGATCAGGAGTGTGTAAACATCAGCTTCATTAGGTTTGTTGCGAGTTGGCGGGATTCGATGTTTTCAGAGCATACATAATTGAGCGGTTTACATATATTATTACAAGTTTTTTGAAATGTCGGTAAACTTGTAAAATCTGATCTATCTTTTAGTTTTGCTGTTAATAAATTATATTGAAATTACCCTTCTACCACATTGACTCTGTTCTGCCATGAATCATCGGGAATAAAAGAGGTAAGGATCATTTATGGGCCTACATTTATACAGAAGAGACTGCTGATTTTCGGTGTCTGTATATCCTCACATGTCTTACATATCTCCATATAAATTTTGAAAATTAAGCAACAAATACTGAATTTAACACATACAGAGTGCCTCAGGCTTTGGCAACTGGGCACACATTTTATTAAATAATTCCTTAAAAGTTAAATGGAACATCTCGTATTTAGTGGGCTGTTTTCATTTTCTTCAAAGCCTCCCTACACCTATCTCCTGCTTTTTACGCAAAGAGCTTTTCTATATTTCATTTATTTCTTTATATTAAAAATGGAACACACTGTATCCTACTATTTTTTCAATAATGGTTCTAGATCACGTTACTCACGTTATTATTTTGAAACAACAATTACTTGACGGTGGCACCATTTGTTAATCAAACCATGATGATCGTATACAGTAGTTTTTCTACTCCATTCTGTAATAGTATATTATGCAACAAGTGTGGTAAACGGTATTTGAGTCTCAGGAGTTTATTTGGCCCGAACGGAGCGAGTGTTTAATCAACGAGTGACTTAAAAAGTTTATCAAACGTGTTGCATACTATACTTTTTCTACGACCGTTAGTTTTTGGGTACATTCTTACAATACGACACGAATACATTGGCTGACATGACCGTCAGAATTGACAAACGTCGACAAACCCGTGCGGTAATATCTCAGAAATTCCCGAAGTGGCTCGGATCGATGTATCAAGAAACTCGCGTGGTATAGTGACGCTTCTCGCATGCTAGATCATTGTATAATTAGGTATTTTGCAGAAGCGAGTAGAAAAAGTACAATATCATGCAACAAGTGAGGTAAACCGCATTTGAGGCACGGGTGACTTAAAAAGTTTGCTAAACATTTTGCATACTATAATTTTGCCGTTAGTAAGACCGAAAGTAAGATTTGCCTTTTAATTTTAAGGGTAACAGGAAAGACCAATTAAATTGTCGCCAACAATGCCATGTACACATTTATAGAAAATTGTTCTTGTGGTCGTCACTTTATACATCAGTGTTGTAGTGAAAAGATTATTTATTGACAAGCAAAAAAAAAAGATTACTAAGTATTTGCAATTTTTAAAAAATTTAAAATATTTCGACGTTGTTCTCGATAGGATTTATTTATTTGTCAGAAGATTTCTGCTTCATTTTACCTAGACAAGAGAAAAAGCACATTCTGTGACATTATAAAAGCCGCAAGGCTTCTGAGACGAGTAACTTGCTTACGTATACATAGAGGGCGCTTCAAAAGTTATATAATAAAAAGCGCACAGCATCTTGTAATTACAGTTCTTGAAATTAAGATATCAAGAGATATCAAATATACGTCTTCTTAAGGGGGCAAATTTAAATAATCCACCACACTATTTTATGCCGGTAATGCTAACGTCGCCACCCTTATGTGAGATTTCTCAAAAAACACCCCGCATTTCTGTTTCGCAGCGCGTCTCGAGGATGGAAAAAAGAAAAACACTTCGACAAACCGCTAGGCTTTATTGCGAAGCGAGGAAGTATCACAATACGGGATAATTGGCGTACGTGGCGATCCCGCACTGATTGATCCCCCGACGCATCCTGACGTACCCCTCTTCGCCGAAATCGACTCCGAACGAATTCTTAACTAACCAGTAATCGACACCGTTGTCAGAACCGTATCCTACGATAAGCATCGCGTGATCTCCTGATCCGACTTCTTTTAAACAATCGTCACTCTCAAAAATTCCACCCTGGTACAAATAAAGGTCCCGCATGTCGATGGTAACGGAAATTGGACCCACCAGACCGACCGCTGCCTTCATAGCCTCTTCATCATTGGCCGGAATCATTACATAATCACTGACTCGCGTCAACGCTTTGGAGGCATCAGCTCTGCAGTCTCGTTCTACTGCCTCGTACGGATAGTCAGCTTCACTCTCGATGCCGTAGTCTCGTATGTAATAGTAGCTTAGTACTGGAACACCAGCGCCGTTGCATCCATTTAGACCTCTAGCGTACAATTTTCCGCAGTCGACGAGGTTTTGTTTGCTCAGCGGTACCAACCGGTTGTGTTTGAGGAAGTACTGGGCTTCCAACGCGCCGGTCTACGCACGAAATAACGAATAAAAGTTAGAGCTAGAAGTATCGTTTAAAGGGTATGTTCGTCGTTAGTCAAGATAGAACCCTGCGTTTCCGCAAAACTTTGGTACTTTTTGTGAAATGAAAGATGACGTTAACAAACATTTTCTGACATTTGTAGTTTTTAAAATACAGAATGATTTTGAATATTTTAAGTTTTTGAGCACCCCTCGTATCTCAGGTATCTTATGAAATGTCCGATAAAGATTTTTATTTTCGTGTTTTTTTTTTCATGAAGACGAAACCATTTATAAAAAAACTGACTACGCTACTGAATTCTGAGTAAAAATCTATATCGGATGCGGTTTTCATCTCGCCGACATTTCATAGCATACCCGAGATACGAGGGATATGCCCCAAACCTTCAAATTTCTGTATTTTAAAAACCAAGCAAATTCTGAAAATTTTGTTAAAGTCATCTTTCGTTTCACAAAAAAGTACCAAAGGGTTACGAAAACCCAAGGCTCCAACTTCACTAACATCGGACATACCCCACAGTCGCGACCATAATGGCGACAGTGTAAAGCTACCGCGCATGTGCAAAAATATAGTTTCAAGGAATATTGGAAAACGAAAGTAGACTGGATTGAATAGCAGAATCGTTCATCACTCTTTTCTCAGGTATAGAACTGTCTCTCTCTTGTAGGGAATATTCAACAGATATGTTTAAAAAGAGACGTTTAATCTTATAACGGAGGAAAGCTTACTTCATGGCCCCAATTCTAACTGGGCATTAATGAAAAACGTCACTAATTGTTTGTTCTTTCCCACGGACAAGTAAGCATTAACGAGTTTTGTTTTCGATGTTATAGCTACAACTAATCATCATCGGCAGAAAACAGCAGTAAAAAAATCAGTTTACGTAAAATTCCGCCACCAAGTTACCGCCATCAGCAGATGACATAAGTCAAACTTGCTGACGTTTAATTTATGTTAGTTTAAGTTAAGCTCTGAAAACTAAAACGTCAGTAAGTTCGACTTATCAACACCGACGCCAAAGGAATCCAGAAGAATTGTAAATAGTAGCCCGTGGATTTTCTTTCTCAAAAAAAAGGGATAAACTAATATTACTGTTACTGAGCATACTATTTTAGTTACTATTAACTTTTTGAATACAAGATATATGAAGACTTAAGCATCGTAGTAAATAAATACACGGTGTTCCAGTATTTAATCAAAAACTGCGAGAGAACAACCGCTCATAAACATAAAAAATGTAAAATAAAACAATTTCTAGATAAATATGATCATATAGTCAATAAGCTACGATCTCGTATAACCCCTGGTACTCACGATGGCAAAACTCCAGCAGGAGCTGCAGCTTCCTTGATCTTGCACGGGTGTTACGGCACCGAGTTTTCTCCAGTCGATTTCAGTTGGTATTTCCGCTAAAGAGGGTATTTTGAAAATACTGTGGGTGGTATTATTGGCAATTTGGGTATACGCAGTATCAGTTTTTGGACCGAAATCGAAACGATCCAAATCGGCAAACTTGTTTACGCCTAGCTTATGGCCGCTCAAGCCCAATTCGTATTGTCGGTTGCGTTTGGCGATTTTTTGTAGATTTTTACGAAAGACAGAAAACCGATATTGCTCTTCCTGATGCGTCGCGTAACGCTTTCCGTATTTGAGCTGGAAAAATATTTCGATAAAACATTCACTACTTATTTCGGTTAGACAAAAAATACCTTGAAGTTATACCACTTTGTCGAAGTCGAGCTCAAAACAACGTTAACGCCAAATGCAACTGTAACAATTATGTAACAAATGGCCAGACGTTTCATTTCGGCATTTAAAATAATTCAGATGCATAAAATAATTGTAAAATTGTATTTTTTTCACGTCTTGTTAAGATAAGATTAGATGCGATCGAAATTTTTTCATCGACCACTCAGACACAGAAATCTCTTAATGCGTCTGTTTTAAATTCGCTAATCTGAAACATGAATCAAATATTATTAAAATATTCCAAATAGACAAGGATCGTCATCTAGTTAGCAGAAGGCGAACTTGCTGTAGTGGATCTCAGTGAGTCATAAAACGGTGGTCGGACTTCCGCCCAATAGATGGCAGGAATACTTGTTAGCATTTATCCCTATCAAAATCACAAAAATATAGAGCTACAAGTTAGCCGAAACTTTATCATATCTGTTTGATCGTATTTCTGGTAGGACTTTTGCAATAAAGGCAGACTACTAGGCATCTGTCAAAAAAATCTTCCTTGCGCTATAAAATTTATTGGCACCTTTTATTTGACATACAACAAACTAATTTGTATGTTTTGGTTCAAAACTTGTTTATTTTTCATTGGAGTAATTATTTTATCGTACATCGTCAGCTGCACCTAAATGCGAATGTTTCGTAATTTTTTTAAACCGTTTTATCAACTGTATTTCATTGTGCGCGGAGCGTGTGTGCTGGATAGGTGACGGTGCTCCGAAGTGAGGTTATGTGGCCCCGTTTGGAAAACTCAGTATGAAAAGGAATTTAAAAACTCTTTTAAAGTTTTGCCTTCTGTCCGCAATCACCGTTGTCTTTACGGTTCTCATTTTTCGGATATTTGAGAGTTCAAACCACCCACAGAATTTGCAGGGTTTCCATAAGAAGCGATCAAATAATGTAAGTCGATGTCCGTTAAATAGGTTCATCTTTTCCAGACTACTACCCCGTGATTATATTTCTGTGAAGTGGTAAGATTCGTGGCAAACTTTTTTAAGAAGATTAGCGGTTGCGGCGTGTGTAAGATAAGTTATCTACCTTGGATTAATTTGCTTCACGATGTATTAAGTATAGTGTTAAATTCCTTTCAAAAGTTATTATTAAATTAAATTAGTTATTGTATGTTTTTTTGTCAATTGTGTGAAGGGCAAATATTTTTTCAGGTTGTCGTGTACAACGAAAAAATTGACTGGCATGACTACGAAGCTATCAAAAAAGATCTATCTCGCACAGGTAATATAATAATCTGTAGATTTGTTAATTCGTGAGAAAGAGTATACAGTTGAAGTTCGTTATTCGCGGGGGAAATATAATTTGTGTGGGATTAAAAAAACAGAATCAACACATTTAAGGAAATGCTTTTTAACAATATGTTTATATTAATTTTTATTATCCGGATTAGGTATAAGAAGCTTTGTAACTTTCTGTCATCCCGCGACAGACTTTTATCCATTCAATATTCAAATTTTGAAAACTCAACAAAGTGAACATATTTACTAGAAACCTTGATTGTTGTGTTGTAATTGTTTTGAAAAAGGGGAAGGACCTAATAAAATTATTGCCCAATAACTTTATCCGAGGGGTGCATTTACACGAGATATTCCGACCGTCGATTATTTTGGTCTTGTATGTATGGTAGCGGTATGTTACTTTCTACTCTGCAGTTTTTTCTCAATTTATAATGGTAATTTATTGCAGAAAATGGATTAATTGAAGCTTATTTAAAATGCCAAGTGACCATGAAAGAATAAATTAGTTCACTGGCTGACTTTGAATATTTTTTGCAGTTTTACTGCGCTGCTCGACTATGCAAAATATGATTGAATATTTATGTATATTAATGTTCGAAAGAGTACGAATTTGTATTGCAAGTTGCGATTTCGCATTTGTTTAACTCGATACATGCATAGGGGAGAAATTATTTTTTAGATTAAATTATTGTAGATATGTAAACCAATATAATAGACTTTCTTATTTGTCTAGAAGAACTGCAACCATCAAATCGCGTGTAACCAAACTATCTCGCAATGTATGTTAAATTAGAATTATTTGGAGCAGATTAATTTGTTTCTTCTCTCTTTTTTATATTCGTAGCAGTTAAGAAACCGCATTCGCTTACACAATTTTTATATATGAATTTAATTTATCAAGCTTTATCACTGGGTCATATTTGTAAAAGATATTTATGCCTTTGTGGAGTTCTGAAACAAATTCGGTTACTAATTTTACCGAAATTTAATGCAACAAGCATTAAATTTTCGGTAATTTGGGTTAACTTTTTGATACTGTAGACTTATGTACCTATTTTATTTTCCATTGTTTTTTTTATTTAAGATATTTTAATGTATGAAAGACTCACGCTCATATACATATTACTATACTATACTATATACCTAGACAATTTAAAAAATTTTAGGGGTGGGCGAGCATGGAAAACCCGCTTATTTGACATCCGATGACCATGACATCTACGATCAATTATTTAAAGTTAACGGTTTCAACGCCGCCCTTAGCGATAAGATAGCGGTAGATAGATCCGTTCCAGACATACGTCATAAAGCGTAAGAATTCATAACGTATTAGCATTGAATATTTCTCTACTAATAAATAGTATTGCTATAACTAATTTAGATAATTAGCTTGGTGTTGGCCGTAAAAGGTTACAGTATCACCGCATTACCCTGACTCTTATTGCGGTACCCTTAATTTTAGCATTTCAAGTGTATTAGCGTTATTTTTTTCTATTACCTAGATGTCACAATAAAAAATACCTCAAGGATCTACCCACGGTCAGCGTTATTGTACCTTTTCATAATGAACATTGGACCACCTTGTTGCGAACGGCCACTAGCGTTATTAATCGATCTCCACCGCACCTCTTAAAGGAAATAATCCTGGTCGACGACTGTAGTACGAAAGGTAAACCATGTAACCGTCGCCCTGCGCCTAGTTTTGTTTCCAAACAGTTGGGTTATAGAATTTAGCAGAAAACCGCTGGACGATTACTTAAAAGCCAACATGACAAAGGTCAAAGCGCTTCACCTACCGGAGAGAAGCGGTTTAATAAGGGCCCGTTTGGCCGGAGCCAGGATCGCAACAGGGGATGTTTTAATCTTCCTAGACTCCCATACAGAGTGCAATGTCAACTGGCTCCCTCCCTTATTGGGTTAGTATATATAGCTATTAGATAACATAGTGACAGTAGTACAGTAAAAATTGATGAACTTCTACCGCCAATGATATTTTCGTAGAGATGGGAATGATCTTCAGCTCATGCCTCTAAATTTTACCCCCTAACCTGCATTTTGCGCCATTTTCTTTCCAAACAAGGATCTCGTACACGTATACACGGTAAATGTGCTACATCTAAATTGAATCCTGTCGATTGACGAACTGTCAGCTGCCATGTTGGTTGTTGAACGTCGTTACGTTTTATTGGTTGAAAACAAGAAATCAAATGACCGCGCATGCACATATTTAACGGGCTATCTGAATATTTTTTTCATGGTGCGCCACAAGTGGCTATGATTTTTTTCGTAGATAAGGTATGGATCTTTTGCGCATGCGTCACAACCCAATTGACTGAGTTGTTACGTTGCTGTAATTTTTCTGGAAAATTGATTAATTTTTATAAGAACTCAACATCAATCTCTGGTATCTGAATATAATTATTGTTGTCACGGAACAGTCTACGTCATAATTTGTCATTAGAGCTGGAATGAGAAAATGTGGCTGGTTTTATTTTATTTTTTATCACTCGAAAAGTTGGCGAAAAGTTTCGGGGTCATTCCACAACTGTCGACTGATTGACTATATTGGCTATATTGACAATTTGAAATGGTGCACGTAAATATTTTAGATTAGTATTTATGAGTTAATATTTTAATACTTCTAGAATTTTTTTTTTACATAATGGCGAAATTAAATTTATGACGTGGACAATGAATTCGTTCTTATGGCTTCTTTTGACCAAAAATAGACATTTTGATTTGGACACGTCCACGTTATCAGACGTAACTTGCGCCTTCAGATCTTGAATAGGTCACCCAATGTAAGAACATTACCAGACACCCCGGTATCGATATTTTAGAACCCATCGCGCAAGATTATAAAGTATGCGTCTGTCCGTTTATCGATGTCATTCAATATGAAACGTTCGAGTATAGGGCTCAAGACGAGGGCGCGAGAGGCGCGTTCGATTGGGAATTTTACTACAAAAGGCTTCCTCTTCTACCGGAGGACCTCAAACATCCCGCCGAGCCGTTCAAGTGAGTTTTCTTCCTTGCTAAAACGCCGCGCATTCAAACCATTGCGTTTATTAATTTAGAAGTCCCGTAATGGCCGGCGGTCTGTTCGCGATAAGTAGCAGGTTTTTCTGGGAACTCGGCGGCTACGACGAAGGCCTTGACATATGGGGCGGCGAACAGTACGAGTTGAGTTTTAAAATTTGGCAGTGCGGCGGTCAAATGTACGACGCCCCTTGCTCTAGGGTGGGCCATATTTATCGGAAATACGCCCCGTTTCCGAATCCCGGCAAAGGGGATTTCGTCGGTCGGGTAAATACCATAATTCAAATTCGCGTTTCAGGGATGGGGGATATTTGCGGGGTATCTATTTCAGAACTACAAGAGAGTGGCGGAAGTTTGGATGGACGAGTACGCTCAGTACTTGTACATGAGACGTCCCCATTACAGGGCTATCGATCCTGGAGATTTGACGAAGCAAAAAGAGCTGAGGCAACGGTTACAGTGTAAACCATTCAAGTGGTTCATAGAAACGATTGCGTTCGATTTGCCGTTAAAGTATCCGCCGATAGAACCCGGCGATTTCGGCGTAGGAGAGGTACTATTCTGTTTTTCGGATCGCAAGGAGCCCCGCCCACACTAATCGTTTCAGATCCGGAATTTGGCGGCGCCAGACTTGTGCGTCGACTCGGGCTTCAGGGAGAGGGACCAGGTGGTGGGCGTGGCTCGGTGTTCGAGGAGCAGCGGCAAAAGGGCCGAGCAAAATTTCACTCTTACGTGGCACAAGGATATCCGGGTCAAGGGCAAAACGCTTTGCTTCGACGTGTCCGATCCCAATGACAAGGCTGACGTCACCTTGTATCCTTGCCACGGCCAAAAAGGGAATCAGTATTGGAAGTACGACGTGGTAAGTAATGTTTATTTCTTAAAATTTTCTATTTATTTCTAAAAAAAAACTCATTTTAGTCAAGAATGTAAAATCAATTAAAACTAGGTTGATAAAAACTGCCAGCGAATTTTTTAATCCGAAATATACGGTCGATAAAAATAAATATATTTGATGTATTAATAATAATAATAATAACAATTGCCTCTGTTGAGATATTTTAAATGATTGCACAGAATTTAAGACAACATTACTTAATACAAAAACAAACTAATATAGTTGCACATCTCAAACGGCGAAGTCTAGCTTAAAATCTTTATTTATTTATTTAAAATATTACAATAATAATGAAACGACAAGCTATAATAATAATAATAGTCTAAAAGTTCATTATTGATAAAATACTAATTTGTTTAGGACAGAGAATTTTGTAATTCCAATAAATGGACCTTAAATTTTCTCCTAAATACTAGAACTGAGCTGGATTCAAAATATTCATTATAATTATTATAAAACTTAATGACACTAAATACAATTGTTGCGAGTAAAAATTGAAACAGGTAATTAATTTAAAGCCATATCAACGCAAATATTCTATAGAGAATTTATACACATCTCAGAGCGTTTATGGAATATAGACATTATTATTAGAATATTTTTCAATGTGTAGTTAACAAAAATTATGAAGCCTGTTTAAGGATGAAAACAAAGACAATTACAAAGATACTCGCTTCTATCCAATTTATAAAAACCATTAACGGTACTTTTTGGTAGTTTAACTCCGAGGAAATGAAAAGTTTTGCTTCGGTAGACGTGACGTCAGCATTAAAGTCACTAAATACTGTTACGGGAAATATTAATTATTCGTAATATTAAATATCCTTATGTCGTTATTTGTTCGTATTTGTATCACTCAGTAGAAAAGATTTTGTTTTGTTTTGTTTAGTCTTCGTAAAATAATATTCTTGTTGTAAGACATGATTCATGTGTATTTAAGGTATTTTGTTTATGTGATTGCCAAAACTTGTATTTTAATTACATCGGTATACAAAATTACAAAATTAAACTTTTTGACAGATATTTTTGGTGGCTGATTTAAAAAATTCTACGTAATGTTTTCTTGGAAAATATTAAAACAGAGAAACATATTTCTAAAATAATTTATTTTTTTTATTCAGTTCAAAAGTGGAATCCTAGTTTAAAAAAAAAAACTTTAGACTCTTTCGGTGAAATCTTCGTCTTTTTGCCAAAAAGCTACGTTGTCCGGACATTCGGCTGTGTGTTTTTAAGAGTATATTCCGTTTTAATATCTAGCAGTAGTCCGCCATCATCATTATGCTCCCTCTGCCTTGGCATTGCCGTTCAATTTCCTTCACGTCCTGGTGGTGGTCCTCTAACTGCTCCAAGATTTTTAGGAAAATAGTTCAAGTGTGAAAAGAGATTCACTTTCAAACTCTTTTACAACAACCATGAAAGAGTTGTAATATATTTTGAATACTTTCATAGTTTTCGTCGAGTTCGAGTTCCCAAAGAACTTCTTTATATGAATTGGGTTTTGAAAATTCTTGTCTTTGTATAATGTTCTTATCTGCGGTGTAACAAAAATACCCTCTTTTATCTTGGCATCAGATGTGGCTGGAAATTTCTTCCACAAATATTTTAAACACTGTCCATTTTTGTCTTTAACAAACTGCTTCATCAAGCCAAGTTCGATATGAAGAGGAGGCAGTAAAACCTTTTTGGAGTCAACTAAGCGATCTCTTAATACCTTTTTGGTCTACCAGGTGTGTGTTCTAGGGGGCCATTCTATTTGAGTTCAACGTCTATCTCTTGCCCAACTATCCCACTCACAAATAAAGCATGGACATTTTGTATAATCCCTTTGGTGTCCTAGGAACATCTACAGCACTTTGATATCACCGCAAAGCATCAACTTGGTAGTTTATTTTTTTCAAAAGAAGTGTGAAATCTGTCATCTGCGCCGGAATTAGATTCCTCCGATTCTGACGATACAACGTTTTCTAGTTCTTTTGGGGCGGTCTGGTCGCATAGCAGAGTCAAGATTGGGATACACAATTTGTTTCTTATTTTTTCTGTTGAATCCTTGAACATTACACGTACAAAAATAATGATCACCACTGTGATTCCTAGGCTCTCGCCATAACATAGGAGCACCAAAGCTCAAACATTTCTTCCTACCATTTTGCCAGTTTCTTAATGCTTCAACGCCAACGGAACGGAACAAACAGGATGAGAAAGACAACAATCCCCAAACGCAGTAGCATGACGACTACAACAACCAAACTGCAAGCAGGTTACAACGCTGTATTGCGAACGCTTTTGCTTTGCAGAGATATCTAATATTATCCAGTGTTGCCAAGTCACATTTAATTTCTTAAAAATCAATTCATTTAAAAATCATGCCTAACAAGGAACAAACATTTTCATGTCCTAGATATGTATATTAATAAAATAACATTATTTAAAAATAAGCGCTATAAAAAAATGATGTGATAAATACACAAATAGGCAAACAGCTTTCAAACATCAAAATCACGGTAGACCTTGTGTGATTGGTCGTCGGAAGAATATATAAACTAAATTCTGTTCATCCACACACAAATAAATGTTTACGCAGGTGTGTAGGCATTACTTGTTTTTTTTTTTTCAATTTCTGTTGCATAGGAAAAGCAGTGGTTCTTACACGGGGGAAACCCTCGGTGCTTGGACTGCGACCCCGGTCGGAACGCACTATACGTGACCACCTGCGACGATTCTTCGAAAACGCAAAAATGGAGATTCGAGAGCGTCAACTTAACAATGCTCGCTGACTGGGACAACATCGGTATCCAATAAAGGCCGGGAGAATAATTTCGACCTAATTTCGTTAAGTCGAGTGCTACTTTTGGTACCAATACTTCCATTGTGCAATAACGAAGTCTTGCGTAATTTATAATTAAGTTGATAGGGCCTCAGTGATTTAAGGGTATTAAATATATTATACACAAAAATTGACTTCCAATCATATCATAGGGGATACTATACATTAAGGTATGTAATTAAAAATGATGGTAGTATTAGTCACAGATTTTAGTTTATTTATTGGAAATTTATATGTACTTAAAATTTTGTGATTAAGCATATTTATTTTGGTGGGTAAATCTTGAAAATATTTCTGAAAAATCCGCACAAGAGCGTTTAATTAGTTGTTATTATTAGTCACATTCTTGCCAATTGATTGAAATTTATGTGATAGCGAGAGGCATTCCCGAAACTAACTTGTACTATGCCATTGGAAATAAAGTGCAAAAAAGCTGTGATACCATTTAAATTTTGTTTGATTTAAAAAACGTCGTCCCTCTAAATCAAATTAGACCCCAGGAATTATTAGTGGGGATTATATTTTTGAATAATATAAATCTGAAACCTAATTAATCTGCAAATTATAAGGTTGTTCGGAAAGTCATTACGTTTTTTCCCGTCAGAGGACTTAATTACGTTTTTCGAAACCAACTTCACACTTAAGCCGCATAACCATTATATGTCTTGAGGGCTGACATTGCAAGGCTTGTGTGTGAAAAAGTTCTATTAATTCTACGCAGTAGTTTTTGGTTGGTGCCCTTTTAAATATGGAGAGCAATAAGCAGCATTTTCGTCATATTTTACTTTTTTACTTCAGAAAAGGTAAAAATGCTGTCCAAGCGAGAAAAAAATTGACCGATGTGTATGGAGAAGGCGTGTTAACAGTACGCCAATGCCAGAACTGGTTTGCAAAATTTCGATCCGGCAATTTTGATGTCGAAGATGCACCACGGTCTGGAAGGCCGGTCGAAGCTGACAAAGATGCGATAAAGGCATTAGTTGATGCAAATCGGCGAATAACCACACGAGAGATCGGTGAGAGATTAAATTTGTCGAATTCGACTGTTTATGTTCATTTGAAAGGCATGGGCTTAACTTCGAAGCTCGATGTGTGGGTGCCCCATGTCCTTACGGAGCGAAATTTGTGTCGTTGCGTTGACGTGTGTGATTCGCTCCTCAAACGCCAAGAAAATGATCCATTTTTGAAGCGGATTATTACTGGGGACGAAAAATGGGTTGTATACAACAATGTTAAACGCAAGAGGTCATGGAGCAGAAAAGATGAACCGGCTCAAAGCGTGTCAAAAGCCAACATTCACCAAAAAAAGGTGATGCTCTCCGTTTGGTGGGATGTCAAAGGAATCGTTTTTTTTTGAGCTTTTGCCGGACAATACAACCATTAATTCAGAAGTCTATGGTCATCAGCTGGACAAATTGAATGATTCACTTAAAGAGAAGAGGCCCGAATTAATCAACAGGAAGGGTGTAGTGTTCCACCAGGATAATGCGAGACCTCACACAAATTTGGTCACTCGCCAAAAACTTTTACAGCTTGAATGGGACGTACTGCAACATCCACCATATTCTCCAGATCTGGCGCCTTCCGACTACTATTTGTTCCGGTCCCTGCAAAATTTTTTGGATGGCAAAACCTTTACCTCAAATGAAAATGTCAAAAACCACCTGAACCAGTTTTTTTCCAGCAAGGACCAAAACTTTTATGAGAGGGGAATTATGTTACTGCCAGAAAGATGGCAAAAGGTGTTGGACCAGAATGGCCAATATATAATTTAATAAAATATTTATTCATTATACGAAAACTTTCTTTCATGTTCCCCAAAAAAAACGAAATGACTTTCCGAACAACCCAATAGTAATCCTTTAGCAAAAATCTAGTATCATAACTAACCACCCGCCGCTAAAATTACATAATTACACAGCTCTACAAATAAAGATTTTTTTTTGTATATATATATATATATATATATATATATATATATATATATATATATATATATATATATATATATATATATATATACAGGGTTTTTCACTTAAAACTCCGCCAATAAGTCCAAAACGAAAAGAAATATTTAATTTATGTAAAAAGTAGTCAAAGTGTGGGGTCAAGTAGATATTTCCTAAAGTTTAAAAAATTCGACCCCTGCAAAGAGCTGGGCGTCGCGACGCATCGAAAAATTATTCGATTGCAGAGACTTTGGAAATACGCGCATACAAAAGTACATATTATTTAAAAACTTTTTTGTTATTTACTCAAACTTATTTACTTTACCCGTTTCTAAGTTATACCGATTTAAAGTAAACATTTCTTGATTAATAAAAAATGTGATTAACGCTTATTTTTACAAGTATGCCATGAATGTTAGTTACTATGGCAACCATTGTTATCGCAGTTGTTTTAAGTGCAATTACAAACAATAGATTTCAACTATTTTAGTATGATTTTATTTATTATTTTTTATCGATTTAGTTCTGATAACATGATAAATAAATGAAAATCAGTAAAATACCTACAAGTTAATAACCAAAATTATTATTGCAATTAACTACATAATAAGACATTTCAAAAATTTTGTTCAAAATTATGTCCATCTGCTCGAACACAACTATCAAAAACTTTTAACAGATGAGCTTGGGTCACTTGTAGGAGAGTCCTTCATGTGATAGCGGCACACGTTGCACTAATTTTGTTAATGAGATCAGCCATATCTTCGATAGGTTCTTCATAGATAACGTTTTTTAGGTAGCCCCAAACAAAATAATCTGGTGGTGTAATGTCCGGGGACCTCGCCGGCCACCTTACCGGTCCATTAGTACCAAACCATCTATTGGGATATTCTCGGTTCAAATACCTCGTTACTATTTGGGCATTATGTGCAGGCGCTCCATCCTGCTGTAGCCACATATTCATTCTAGTGTCAAGAGGCACTTCTTCCAATAGTTCCGGAAGTGTAGTTTGAAGAAATCTTAAATAGCGATCTGCATTTAAAGTTCCTTCGTAAAAGTAAGGTCCGATAAGGAATCCATTTAATATGCCGCACCAAACATTGATACTAAAAATTCGTTGGTTAACGAGGATGGCTTTCGGACCAAAAACGACAGTTGTGTCTATTAACGATTCCATTATTTTGAAATCGACTTTCGTCGCTCCATAAAATTTTCGAGAGAAAATTTGCATCTTGGCTATACAAATCGGACAAATACATTCTTCTAGCATAATCGCCTGGTTCTAGTTTATGAACTAGTTTACTTTTGTACGGGTGAAAAGAGTTTCTATGTAGAATTCTCCACGAAGAACTTATGGTAACACCAGTATTTTCTTTTACCTCTGATAGGGATATCTTGGGGTTTTTATCAACCTGCTGAATTACAGCAGCAGTATTTTCATCATTTGTAGCCGTCCTGTTCCTATCTCTTTTAGGTTTTATGAAGCTGCCATATTCTCTTAAGTTTTTAGATAAACTTGAAAAGATTTTTGCATCTCTTCTATGCGGATAACGCCGTGCGTAAACTCTTTTTGCTTCTCTACAATTGCATCTGCATTCTCCAAACACCAGTAACATGTCTACTTTTTCCTCATTGCTAAATTGCACCATTTTCACATAATAATTCTTAGTTTTTTTTAAACCGAACAAATTTGGATATTTCTTGTGAACAAAATGTGACAATTTTTTGATACAGCAATAACAACTTACGTTTGTAATTGCACTTAAAACAACTGCGATAACAATGGTTGCCATAGTAACTAACATTCATGGCATACTTGTAAAAATAAGCGTTAATCACATTTTTTATTAATCAAGAAATGTTTACTTTAAATCGGTATAACTTAGAAACGGGTTAAGTAAATAAGTTTGAGTAAATAACAAAAAAGTTTTTAAATAATATGTTCTTTTGTATGCGCGTATTTCCAAAGTCTCTGCAATCGAATAATTTTTCGACGCGTCGCGACGCCCAGCTCTTTGCAGGCGTCGAATTTTTTAAACTTTATGAAATATCTACTTGACCCCACACTTTGACTACTTTTTACATAAATTAAATATTTCTTTTCGTTTTGGACTTATTGGCGTGCGGAGTTTTAAGTGAAAAACCATGTATATATATATATATATATATATATATATATATATATATATATATATATATATATATATATATATATATATATATATATATATATATATATATATATATATATATATATATATATATATATATATATATATATATATGGAAGCACTGACTGTGCTTATGATTTTCACAAATCCTATAATTTGAACAATAATCAGCTTTTTATTCATAAAAATCGATTTTATCAGTCATGATTAGGCTTCTGCACAACTTTTTCGCACATACAAACATCACGTGAACCCTACTCTTAGCGATCTCCACCCTTTGCTCCGCTGAACAGCTGACATCTCAACTATTCGACAATACGAAGTACCAACATGTGAATCTAAATAAGTTCTTATGAGTTAATATTTCGTCTCAATTACTGAATATATATTTAAATATATATTTGTTTTGTCTTTTAAAATATGAGTTCGTCAAGAAGAAAGTGTAAATATAGTACTGATTTGTTTTGTTATATTTGCGGTGTTTATTTAACAAAAAAACAACTACGAAACATTACAGACTTTGTTAAGGAGGCTTACACTGAATATTTCGGTTTTAAAATGGACAAACTAGAAAAACCATGGGTCTTTACGGTTATGGAAAGAAGGAGAACGTTCTGGGTTGGACTTTGGTATTCCGATGATCTGGATGGAGCCTACAAATCATTTCGATGATGGTTACTTTTGCGTTGTAGATGCTGGAGGTTTCAATCGCAATCAAACCTGGAGATATCCAGATTTACAGTCTACAAAACGTCCTATACTACACAGTAAAAATCTTCCTCGGCCTATTTAAAAAAAGTAATTTGAATGCCCTCAGAAACAATGTTACCAAATTCACAGAAAGCGGGACAGCCTACTATCTACGCTCAAGTTATTTTCTCAAAATGAACTCGGTGATTTAATACGTGATCTCCATTTATCAAAACAAAAATCAGAATTATTAGCGTCAAGATTGAAAGAAAAAAATTTATTGACCACAAAAGTGACAATTACGACATACAGGACACGCGAAAAACAGTTATTGCAATTTTTTAGTGAAGATGAAGGTCTGGTGTACTGTAATGATATCGCGAAGCTACTTTTAGGGTTTAGCAGCATACAAACCTACTGAGTGGTGACTTTTCATTGACACTTCTAATAGAAGTTTGAAATGCGTTTTACTGTACAATGGTAATAAAATTGCCTATTCAACAAAACTCAAAGCGGAGTATGACAATGTAAAATTAGTTTTAGAAAAAATTAAATACTCGGAACATCAATGGCTGATTTGTGTAGATTTGAAAAAATTTTATTCAGTCAACAAAGTGGATACACGAAATACCCGTACTTTATTTGTATGTGGGACAGTAGAGCAAAGCGACATCATTGGAATCAAGATGTTTGGCCTGTGAGAGATTCTTTAACTGTCGGTAAAGCCAATGTAATAAGAGATCCATTGGTAAGCAGAGACAGAGTATGAAAAAGTTGAAAATTGGAATATTTTATGGCCCTCAAATACGGCAAATGATGAAGGACTCAGATTTTATCAAATTTATGACTGTTCCGGAAAGTAAAGTTTGTGAAAGTTTTGTATTGGTAGTCGAAAATTTCCTAGGTAATCATAAAGCACCAAATTATGAAGAAATTGTGAAAATATGCTGACAAATTGTCACATTCTAGGAGCAAATATGAGTATCAAGTTGCACTATCTTCGCAATCATCTAGATAAATTCCCGGATAATTTAAGGAATTATAGTGAAGAGCAGGGAGAGCGGTTCCACCGGGATCTAAAAGTGATGGAAGAACAGTACCAGGGTCGCTGGGATTGTCACATGATGGCAGATTAATGCTGGTGGTTAAAAAGAGATTGTCCAAACAAGAGTTATAACAGAAAAGCTAATAAAAGGCGTTTTATTTAAATATAGTATAAGTTTTTAACATTTTTTTCTCTATTTACTTCAATGTTTGTTAATCTTTCAAAATAAAACTAATATTTTCAACATTTATGTCATTTTATTTCTTGTTTTCCGATTTTTTAAAATTAAAATCAAAATAAAGATTTTAACAAAATTGACAGCAATTCTTACAAAATCATTGATAGTTCCATGAATTGTGAGAATAAATATATCTAAAATTAGTCTCATATCCAGGGCAACAAAATCATTGTATACCAGTGTTATTATTACCCCCACCATTCTTACTCTATCCTACTTGCATTGGGATGCGTATAGCCGATGAAAATCATTTTTCTACTGCTATCAAAAAATGGTGACATTTTTTAATGGTTTTTACTGTGACAAATACATTGCGCGAGGTATTTCGCACACTGTTGTTTGGTATTTCCATAGAAACCAAAATATAGAGGCTATTTTACAACATAACGTTCTAATGGATAATAATGTATTCGTTATGTAACAATCCAAATAAATGCAACTGTAGAAAAATATTGTATACAACTGTTATAAATAACTATTTACAATTTTCAGCGACACACCGCAGATAACCGGTATAAATGGGCCACTGACATTGCGCACCGATCAGCTGTGAAGGTGCAGTACTGCCAACCACAATTTTTTAGTCCCACGCCACATTTTGCACAGACCACAAATTGAAGCTTTCCAAATTCAGCATATTAACCATAGAATTAGATTTGACAGTAGTCAGTGGGCAGACGTTTGACATGTCGTTATCGTAAACTTCGCAGCAACATAATAGTTCCGAAATTTTGTGATTTAAATTTATTAAATAGAATTTTACTAAAGTATAACAGGGCGACCGTTTACATCATTCAATGAATATCCGTTAACTCAAATTCGCGAGCAGATCAATATTTCAAAACCTGGTAAAAGTTGTTCATCATTCCTTATTGGCAAATGACCAAAACTGGATTCCGGAAGTAGGAAGAGAGGCAGAAAACATTGGGTGAGTTGCTCTATTTTTATTTTGGTACAAACTGGATTCCTAATTTTCGTAAATCGGAACGGGTCAATTCCCTGGTCCAGTACTTTAACCTTGGTTAGCGTTGAAGGAAAGCAGCCTCTGGGAAGGTCTCCTTTGTGTAATTTCGTTCTTGCGTAGTGAGTGCTGTTTTTTTATCGGGTTCTATCATTGCCAAAGGTTTTGCTGGTTATTATCTTATATACCTTTTATGTCATTGATTGTCATTAAAAAAAATCTAACCTTTTTTATTTGAATGATACGTAATCAAGAGGTAAACCGCAAATCCCATCTGGCGTAATTGCTGAACAATGTGAAACGCTTGTATTGCGAATGATACCACAAAAGTGTCGATCAACTGTGGACCAGTAGAGAAATTATAAATTTGCAGGATTAAGAAATAATTAAGTACAGGGGATCCATATGTCCTTTGGTCCCTCAGTGGATCCCTTATGCTTAATTGGTTATCAATTCTGTAAGTTTATAATTTCTCCATTGCTCTGGAATTTACGCCGCATGAGATTTGCGGTGTACATCTCAATTACTTATCATCTGAAATCAAAAAGGTTAGAAATGTCTCTTTGATAACTATCAATGACAAAAGGTATTCAAGATAACCAACAAAAAACCTTTTGCCCTGATACAACTCGTTAAAAAACAAATAAACAATAAAGTGGGCTCCTCTTAAAATCATGTTTTTAAAAATTGAACAGTATTTAAATGGAGCTGATAACCGGTTTAAGGAAAGCATGATATCTTAAAATAAAAAATATTACAGAGTTGGTAGAAAACTGGAATACCTGAAAATGGTTAAGAGAATTGAATAATTGTAAAGCTATTCTATTATTAATGGCTGGATACTTTTTTCTTACGTTTTTTCTTACTGAGCTGTGGCAATAGTAAATGAAAATGTGTTTAGTTAAAGACTTATTGAAGATATAGTGATAATTACAAAAGACCAATGCAAAAATATAAGCTCCAATATGACTTGTTTACCTACTTAATTGCAGGTGAAAATAATGGACGATACAGATGTGGAGATGGCTCAGGACGAGCCAAAATCTACAGATATATCGTCAGCATGGTTGGATCATTTTTTGAAGGGTAACTTTGAAGCCGCAGAGTTCAAACATCACTGGTCCCGTTGGGTACCTAAAATTTATAGCCCCGCGCTTAGCGAGAACTGTCTGAATTGGACCTTTAACGAAACCTTAGCTCAGGAAGTGTTATTTTTGCCGCTCGAAGAGTTTATATGCAACGGAAATCCCGACGAGGTGTTCAAACATATTAGCGAGTTAAACAAGCAACCGTCAGTGTGCGGGAAATTTTTCAAAAACGCAGATCCGACTTACTCTTGCCGCGAATGCGGAATGGATAAGACGTGCGTATTATGTGTGGAATGTTTCAAACATTCCGAGCACCGTTTCCACAAGTACCGGATGGGGATGTCGGGAGGCGGAGGTTGTTGCGACTGCGGCGACGTAGAAGCATGGAAGAGGGCGCCGTTTTGCGAACTGCACAGGGGTGATCAGTCGGAAGGCGACGGCAAAGGTATTCTCGCACCGGATTTACTGGAAAGGACCCGACTCGTGTTCGATACAGTCTTGTGGTACGCGTTTCGCCGATTGACTACAGACTTGGTGGCCAGTTTGAAATCGGACGGAATTTCAGAAGACATCTTCGATCTGGATGAGTACTGCACCATACTTTACAATGACGAGGTGCACACATTTGAGCAGGTGATAAACACTCTTGGTCGGGTGCTCAAGTGCACTCAGAGGTCGTCGACCGAGTTTGTCACTAGTATAGACCGTGAAGGGAGAGCTATAGTCAAGTGCTCCACTTTCCAGCACTGCTCCGACTTGAAGCAAGAAATCGAAAAGTATACGTCGAAGCACGGCAGCAAACCATTAAAGGTTTTGGTGAATCACACCCACGTGATCGCCCATCAGATCTTCGCAATGAAACTGTTGAACTGGCTCGAAAAACTGTTGGGCAACGGAGCGGCGTTTAGAGCGGTTTTTTCGGAATGCGCGTCGAAACCACCTCAGCCGATGAGACCGTGTTTGATAACGGAAATCATGTTGTACGATTCGACCTTGTGGAAAAGCGCCCGGACCCAGTGGCACCGGCTGCTGATAGCCGGGATGCTTTTAGAATACGAGAACAAAAAAACCCTTGCCAAACTGTTTACGAAAAATTACGCGCAGATTATGAAAGATTTTATTAGGGACGATCACGAGCACTCGTACTCAATATCGTCGCTCGCCGTTCAACTCTATACCGTCCCTACTTTGGCTCAGCACTTGATAGAGAATGATGACGTATTGTTCATCCTATTGAACACGTTGATGTCTGAATACGATAAAAAATGCAACAAGGCGGGCAAATTGGAGTTCGAGCGTAATCCTTCGTTTCACACGTTCAAAAGGACCTTGTTCATGCTCTACGACCTGAAGTATTTGCTTACTTACCCGCCGGAACGCTGGACCGATAACTTGAGGCGAAGCTTCCTTCACGGATTTTCCGTTTTGCTCACGCTTCTTGTGAAGATGCAAGGTATATTTTTTTAGTTTTTGAAATTAACGCTTGATTTTTCTTGATTTTAATCCGATAATTTATTTATATTTACTGAAACGTGTTGTTACGCATGTGCGCAAGTTCCTTTTTTTAAGAATAAATATTTGAATTAACATTGTAAAATTTTCCATTTATTTATAAAAATGATGTTTAAATTTTGACGTCTATATTTTTATTCCGGTATCCTAAATTATTTTGGTCTTTTTATAATGATATAAATCTATATATTCGTTTTAAATAAAGAACTGCTTTATTTATCTAATAATTCTTATTCCTTGTAAAAATCTTTGCATTATTTTTTCTAATAAGATTTGGTGAATTTGTTTGCCTTTGTGTCTCCATCGATATTTTTCTGTTTTGTTCTTTTTTTCTTTCCTTTATATTTTAAAGTTTTATTGCAGATGTTCATATTTGTCATTTTGTTCCAATTCAAGTATTTGTTTTTTAATTTTGCAATTAATTATCTGATAATTGTATTCTTTCCTATATGCACTCACTCTGTTTTTGTTCTTCTACTGCTTTCCAAGTTTTTTTTTTTCATTATCGTGTTTCTTGCATTATTGTATTGTGGTCCTTATATACTGTATATTTAAATTCATCCTTTCCAAGTTTTGTCAGGTGCCTTCTTTTTCTGCATGTTTGTAGTTTTATTTCTACCTTTCCTATAGTCCTTTAGTTGGATTTTAAAATTTCTTATTGTGTTCTAATTCAAATTTTATTTGTATTTATTTTTTAATATCGTTGTTTCATTTTTTGTATAATTCCTTCTCTTTTTGTTTTTCTACATTTCTTCCATTTTTTTAAATCACCCTCTAGTTCACAATGCTTGTAGTTTTTAGCTCTAACTTAGGTTTACTTAGACTTTTATATGTTCTCCCTTGATTCATGTTTTGAATTTTTGATTTCTAATTTTCGGAACGTTTTTTCCCCGTTCTCCGCGCACTCTACGCTATCTTTCCCTTTTGTAGGAATGGACGCGGTCACGAGGCAAGTAGGTCAGCACATGGAATACGAGCCAGAATGGGAATCCGGTTTTAACCTCCACATCAAACTAGCATATTGTATATCTCAGGTTATAGAATGGTGCGGAACGGATCGCGTGATCCTCATCAAAGCGTACCGCTTGGTGTTGAAAGCGTTGGAAGAGAACCCGTGCTACGAGCCGAACGAAGCGGGCGAAGTGCGAGAACTGGCCGATCACGGCACCGCGTGTCTACACTACGACGTGTCGTCAAAACCCGTTTCCATACACTTGCCGCTCACGCGACTCTTGGCCGCACTGCACCTTCGCCTCGAAAAGTTCGGCCTGCATTTCGACGGCCAAGAGTTTCAGGTGGTCAAACCCACTCCGGTGCAGATTATCGAACCGGTGCTCAGAGCTCAAGTGATGATCGCTCAAGTCCACGCGGGCATGTGGCGCAGAAACGGTTACGCGCTACTCAACACCCTCTACTTTTACCACAACGTCAAATGTCGCACGGAAATGCTCGACCGAGACATCGCGCTGCTTCAGATTGGCGCCTCGCTGATCGAGAGCAACGAATTTCTGATACACGTGCTGAACAAATTCAACCTGATTAACTGGGCGTTGCCCGACTTTGAAACCAACTCCCTCAAAGCGTCCGAGGACGATAATATGCGTCAGACGATTAATTTGGTCGAGGAGTTGCTTCACCTGCTCGTAGTGATTGTGGGCGAGAGGTACATGCCAGGGGTGAGCGATGTGACTGTGAAGGACCGCATAAAAAAGGACGTGCTGCAAAGTCTGTGCATCAAGCCGGCACCGCACTCCGAATTGGTCAAGTGCGTCTCTGACGACTTGGAAATTGAAGACGGTATCGTCGACAAGGTAATCCACGAGATCGCGGTATTCAAAAGTCCCACCCAATCGACGGGCAAGGGTGTGTACGAGCTGAAGGAGGAGTACTTTAACGACTTCAACGTGTTCTTTTATCACTACACTCGCGAGGAGCTGTCCAAAGCGGAGGAGGCGCAGAGAAAAAGGCGCAAGGCGGCCGGGGAGCTCGAGTGCTGCCCCCCGCCCAAATTGCCGAAGTTGACCGAGTCGTTCGCACTGCTGGTGAACCTGCTGCAGTGCGACGTGATGCTCCATGTAATGCGCACCGTGTTCGAGAGGTGTCTCAATCTGCGTGCGAGAAGCTTTTCTGAACCGCAGCTCCACAAGGTGTTGCACCTTATTGGTTATGCGCTGTTAGAAGAGCAGTCGGGAAACTATCCGTTCTTCAGGTTTGTGGAGAACGCCTCCAAATTCGGGATCTTCACCCTGATGGAGGAGATCGTGAAGAGTCCGAGGATTGACGCCCACAAGGGAATCCTGCGGTGGATTTTGATCAAGTACCAGGAGGTAGCCAGCAAAGGTGGTAGGTATAACATTGTAGAGGCATCTAGGATTAGTTGATGCAGAAGTTTTTCTTTTACGATGGCAAAAATATTTTCTCTAGTCTATTCAGTCCATTTTGAGTAAATTGTGAAATTTTTAATTCTAGATTAATATTCTAATATTCTTTGGACTATAAAATAAATTTGATAGGCACACCCAAAACCAACACACTAAAAATCTAAATATTCACCATTTCCAATCAACAAATGAAAGAGTAAAGTTTGCAGCTTTAATATGTCGCGTTTTACCATTGCCGCCAGACAGTAAAAACAATTCCGAAGCTCGCCGAATCCATACTTTCATACAAAAAAAGTCAGACCTGTCATGATAGTCAAATGTTGATGACGTTTAAAATAATTGAACTATCGCCGAATCGCAGACTAAAACATACTGGAAATGGCATCTCGTTTGTCCCATTTATTATTTTAAGATGTAAACTGGATGGAACGAGTTTAACGAATTTTATTTTAAAATTTAATCAAAAAGCGACGTATTTTCTGTAATAAAAAATATCATATTAATATTAATATTTTCTGCCATGTCTATAAAAAGTTTTGAATGAATTTATCAAAAAGAATACAATCACAAATAGCAGATAAAATACTAAAAGCTAATTACTTTAACTCATTTTCACCAAATGCAACCACCAACCAAAACAAAGGACTTTTAGTTGGTTGTGCTCTGACATCGCCTTCTCTGATCTTTTGCATAATTTGTTGTAACGACTTTTTACAGAACTAAATACACAAGGGAACAGAAACTTTGGCGTTTAAGTACATATTTTCATTTAATTTTGCGGGGACGATCGAAATCTGTTTTCAGGACAAACGGCGAACGCGCAGGGCGAATGCGGTGCCGCGACCGAGAACGCGGACAACGAGAAGGAACGGCGAGCGAAACTGGCGGCGGAGAAGCGAGCAAAAATCATGGCGCAGATGCAGGCGATGCAAAAGAATTTCATCAAGGAAAACGCGAAACTGTTTGAAGAAACCGCGGGCATGGACACGGGCGCCGAGAATACCGAACACCCGGTAGCGATGGAGGTGGCAGAGAGTCGACCGATCGCGCTCGGCCCGAACCAATCGCAACGCGTCAGCGTCGAGAAAACATTCACGTGCATCCTGTGTCAGGAGACTGAAAAAATAACGGCCGACGGACCAGCAATGGTCCTGGCCGCGTTCGTTCAACAGAGCACCGTCCTCTGTCAGCACAAGAACAACAAAACGTTGCTGGACCTCGGCCAACATGACCCGTTGTTCCTGCACGCAAACCTCGGTCCCGCCCCGCATACCAGCACCTGCGGCCACGTGATGCATAGCGACTGCTGGCGCAAGTATTTCGACAGCGTGATGGTGCGCGAACACAGACGACCCTACCGACTGAGGCACCCGTCGAGTTTCGACGTCGACAAGCAGGAATTTTTGTGTCCGCTCTGCGAATGTCTGAGCAACACGGTGCTGCCGTTGGTACCGTCGCTCTACAAGCTGCAGCCCAGTTTGCCGCGGAACGACACCTCGTTCGAGGACTGGCTCGCCGACATCAACCTCGTCCTAGAGAAGAAAACGCGGGTGTGCCACGGCATATTCCAGTGCAATTTGACAGAACGCTGCGAGAACCTACACTGCGTCGCATGCGTGAACGCGTCCAGCGGCACGAGCATCGACCAGGACTCGTCCGACGAGTGCGACGTCAATTGCATCCTGCAGCCGCACCAGGTGTTTTACGCTTGCCCCGTGGACGGGACGAGCGGCGATTTGTCGCCCGGTTTCGTGGCCATGTTCCCGACCACTCCGACGATCGCCGTAGGGAGTAACCTTAAGGAAATGATCCAGGTGTTTGCGCAGGTAACCTACACCAGGGGACTTAACGTAAACCCGCATCCGTCAGACAAGAGGCTCGCGCCTCTCGCGTGGAAATCTCTCGCCTACACCATATATTCTATCGAACTGACGCTGCAGTCTTCTGGCAAGCCGGTACTGGGGGCGCTTACCAGCAGGCAACGCGATTCGATCGAGAACCTGGTGAAGGTGGTGGCCGCGTTGGGCGGGACCTGGTCCCGCAGCGTCGTCATCAACAGTCACGCCCTTTATCTGCTCTCCGTGCTGTTCGAGAACAGTAACGAGAACCCGTCGCTGCTGTTGTTCGATTCGTTCGGATTCCTCGTCTCTTTGACGTTCGCCCTGCCCAGTCTATTGGCGAAAGACGCTCCGTGTCCCGTGCCAACCGGCGGCACCCTCGAATGGCACGTGCTGAGAACGATATTCGTCTCGCATATAGTCAAGATTTTGATCCTGCTGAAGCCGGACGAAATGATCGCGGACGAGAGCGAAACAGACGAGGACGCAGACGCGGCCAACGATATTCTCGAAGTGCTAACCATTATCGGAAAACACAGAGACGGTTTGAACGGAAGCGACGTGTGGCAACACGTGAAGGCGTCCTGCTACCCGTTCCTGCGATGCTGCGTCCTATTTTACCATTACCTGACTGACGTGCCCGGTTCTGGGCAACTCGCGCGTCCCGGCGGCGCCACCTTCGACGAGATTTGCTCGTACCTCGACCTGCCGACCTCCCCCGGTGATTTGTTTCGATCTCGTTACGTGCGCGCTCTGATCGAGCGTTGGTGCGGTCACGAGGAGGTGGCCGCTTACTTGGCCGGGTCTCCTTTGCTAGTTATCGAGGAGCCGGTCAAGTTACCGCGGCTCGTAGACCTGCCCGACGATTACAGCGAACTGATCAACGCCGCGTCCACGTTCAAGTGTCCAAACAACGAGGAGGACTGCCGCAATCCCACCATGTGTTTGGCTTGCGGAAAAATATTGTGCTCCCAGAGTTACTGTTGCCAGGCGGAGTTTAACAAGATCGCGGTGGGCGCGTGCAATCTGCACGCGAGCAAATGCGGCGCAGGGGTGGGGATATTCCTGCGCATACGCGATTGCGAGCTGCTGCTGCTCACAGCGCCACACCGCGGCTGTTTCATCGTGCCGCCCTACTTGGACGATCACGGGGAAACTGATCAGGGTCTGAGACGGGGTAACCCGTTGAAATTGAGCCGCGAACGATACGAGAAACTGCAGAATCTGTGGCTCGCCCACGGCATACACGAAGAAATCGCGCGGCAGATAGAGACCAGTAATCATATAGTAGCCACCCAGTGGAACATGTTGTAGACGAGGAGAATGTCGCCGAAAAGGGCAACGGAAACGTGCTCCGGCTTTGTACCAACACACCTGCGGTTCTCGGAGATTGTCAATTGATACGAAAAGTTTGAGGAATCGCGCACCATTATTGATCGACGAGGTTGGTACAATTTCGGACGAGAAAATTTTTAAATTCAAAGTGAGATTCTTTGCTTAGGAGCTATTGAGATTTCTTCGTTGAATGTGTTTATGATAATGTGATTTTGAAAATATTTAGATGTAAATTACACGGTTTGTATATATATAATTCTAATAAAAGTTTTTAGTTTTAAGCCCGCGTTGATTTTTTCCACGAATTAATGGCAGGTCGAAAATTCCGTATATTACCACCCAAAAAGTATCTCTTTCAAAAAGGCGTTTCAAATTTGCAAATCTTTTGTAACAGTACAAATTTACGATATATGTGGAGCGTCGCTCGTTTGCGAGTCTCTTTTAGCCCCATGTTGGATGACGTGATCCGTGAATTTTTTAAGTTATTATTTAAAGGCTAAAAATGTTAAGAATTTATTTCCATTTGTTTTTGTCACATACAAAGTTATTTTATATCGCAATATTAAAGATTAAATTACTTCAAAAAACGACAGAAGTAAGAAAAACCAAAATGTCGCTACAGAGAAGTTAATGACCTTAACCTCGAGTCAAGTAAAAACGACCAATATTTTGACAGCTTAAATTTGACATAACCTTAAAAGTAAACTGTATCTTGTGGGAGGTCACAAATTTTTTGTACAAGGATGTTTTACTGAATAGTCAATGAACGTATAGATGGATACGAGATATGGACTTTCCATTTGAGTCGCAATGTAGCGGATGCGATATAAACCACGACGATATTTTGGAATTTCTCGGGGTAAATTGTTAAATATCAAGCAGATGTATAAAGAAATGGACACTTTTTAGGAAGTTGTATCGCATATATACGCTTTTAGAGACAGGTATTTCGAAAACCACGGAATCGATGAAGCACTAAAGAAAAATGAAGAGATTAAACAGGTGCTGGACAAAGATAAACACATTTTTCAAAAACATGAACAATTGGCGTTGAAACTTAATAAAGCAAAATACAATTTTTTGAAAGGCAAGTTATTAAATGTACTACCTGATTATTCCCAAGAAGCAGAAATTTTACTGTCAAAGGCGATTAAATTAGATCCAAAGTTAGTGGATGCGTGGAATGAATTGGGCGAGTGTTACTGTAAAAATAATGATTTAATAAAAGCCACAAGTTGCTTTGAAGGTGCATTGAAAGAGGTATGCATATTTATGTAGTGGAGAATGGATTTTTGTAGATTTAGTTTTTTAGAAAAAAAATAAAATTTCACTAAGGAGTCTTTCAATTTTATCAAGACAAGCAGAATGCAAGAACAATGAAGAAAAAGTGCAAAATATAGAGAAAGGGCTCAGCTATGCCAAAGAGTCTGTACAATTGGACCCTAAAGATGGACTCTCGTGGGCTATTCTAGGAAATGCACATCTCTCTTATTTCTTTGGAATACAGCAAAATCCTAGAATATTAAAACAGTGTTTGGGGGCATATTCTCAGGCAGTAGTTTTCTAAAATCGAATTTCAAAAACCCCATTTTCCTTAACTGTTTTATTTTCAGGAAAAAGATATAGTAGCAAAAAGCACTTCCGATTTACACTATAATAAAGGAATAGTAAGGTCTGATATACGAAACTTGCATTTGTAATAAAATGTATATTTTGTAGACATTAAAGTATGAGGAAGAATTCCAATTGGCACTTGAGTGCTTTAATGAGGCATCACTATATGATCCCACATGGGAACCTCCTAAAACTAAAGAGAAACAATTACTCAGGTATTTAGCCGAGATTCAAGAGTTGGTGATAATGAAAGGCAAAATGAAACCTAAAAAATTGCAGCAAATATTACAGGTTAGCTTATATATCTTTTAATTTCGATTGAGTAATCGGTAGTCCCTCAGTCTATTGACAACAAGAAACTTGGACCTTACGGTGGCGGAAGTTATACATCATCTAGCGGGCAAACTGTAAAGCTTATAGAAACGCCATTTAATAGATTGATCTCTGGATTAAATGAGGAAAAGGTCGTTTTAGGTAAAGTTGTGTGCTCTGTGAGGAACGAAGATTCGGTGCCGTTGTAAGTGTTTGTATTTACTGTTAAGGGGTGCCTTGTGTATATTATTCTTGTAGCACATTTTGTATGGTTGATAAAAATGGAGAGTGTATTGTTGTAAGTGTCTTTAATTTGGCAGATGGAAAAGGGGTAATCATTGGAGACTCGGTTGCCATCCCAGAGCCTTTCATAACTGACATAGACTTCAGTTATAGAGAAAATGTAAGTACAATTGTACTCCAATCAATCAAAATATATTGATTAATGCAGGATCAATTTCAGACATTTAAATTTAGACTCGTGAGGGTCGAAACTCCTGTGATATTGGTTGTCAATGGAAAAAAAATTGGCAAGGAGTTGCAGGCTGGCGTGCAAATGTCGATTTCGAAAAAATTTGACTGATTTTTTATTATTCTTCTTTTTATAAAATTGCAAGTATTTTTTTTTAATTTGGTTAGGATTAGCATAGTTTCCCAAATGAAACTAATTTTCCGTAGTCTTTCAGAATGCAAAGGATAAAATTCATCAGACCAATCTTTTGAAGAGCTTTAAGAAATAATCCGGTAATATTATTGCTATTTAATTTGTTGTAAACATTAGGTACATTTTCTTATCTTGTTAATTACTTTTCTAATAAAAAAACGTAGTTTTAGATAGTTTGTTATTGTTGTACAGTATTTTGATAAAAATAATGTCTTGGAAGCGTACTATTGTGGCTACTAACTACAGCTCAGAATGCTAAGGTTAATTTGTAATAGCCGACACCATACAGCTATTAAATACTATAGTGAAACTACCATGCTGAAAGTTAATGTGCCGCAAGAAGCATTGGTATTTTATTAGAAAGGGTTTTCCGCGCAAGCCTCTACATTTCACCCACTAACTTGCACTTTGCGCCATCTAAACAGCAATTTCTATACACTTAATCCGTTTTCCCAGAACATTTTAAACAAAATTATTGACGATCTCTCCATGTTGGTTTTTGAATGTCACGACGTCATTGGTTAAAAATGAGATTTTAAATCTCGCGCATGCGCATGTTGAATGGACTTTCTCAATAGTTGCTGCTTAAGTTCCTGTATTATCAGCATAGGCCATGGCCTACCTCGAATGACTAAATAGGCGACACCAACACTATCAAGTATGTGAAGTAGGTAGTTAGCAGTCATCTGGTAACCTATAACTATATTTTCCGTAACTTCCTTGGATGGAATTGATATTTCCAATACTTGACAACAATATTTTATGTCTCTGTGACCTGCCTCTTTAAGACATTCAGTTAATTTCCAGAAATTGAGGTTTTCAATATAGCTGGAGCGTCAATCGTTTAACTATACAATAAAATTGTTGTTTTAATTTTACGTAATGAAACACGATTTTTCGAAAGGGCAATTTGTCCTTTATTAAGTTAAAAGTTGATTCACAAAAATAAGAATTTATGTCTATTGCACTCTAATTTGTACACGAGAACAAAGCAAGCATTCGCACACACCTCACGGAAGCATTTATAATAACCCAAAATTTTTGTTCTTTTAATCCTGCTTATTTTTGTGTCTATAAATTAAGAACTAATTAAATACATAGTAGGTGTAATATATCACAGTATACATTACTTATTGCAAAATACATCGAAAATAATAATAATTAAAATCTAAAAATACATTGCAGTGTAATATTAATAGTATGGGGAAATCTAAATAAGGAGTAGCAGAAAATATCACATATGGATTTATCACAATCAACGGCAAGACCGCCGCCATAAATGCAAAACCTACAAATTACTTTCCCAAAGCTTTAACGAGTTATCCAGCACCTCCTCGAACCATTTCCGTTTAAGCGGGTTCTTAAACACGGGTGCCAAAGTTTTCATTTCGATTTCCAAAATGGCCTCGTTCCCCAGCAGGCTGTTTAGCTTGCCGAGCAAGCGTGGATCGCCCTTCGATTTAAGAAGGGACGGATACGTGAAAATGTAGTAATTGTGACGGAGTTTCGACGACGCCCATAGCTCGACCGTTTTGTTACCGCTGGCAACTTTTATTGCACCCATATGAACGGCCTGCCACGGACTGAAATACTGGTTCAACTCGCCCTCCCCTATATGCGATATGCCCTGGTTTTTCAGTCTGTCCTTTATCTGGAGGTAGCGTGTTTTGTTGAAGACAAATACCTGCAACGAAAATTTATTATTCCGGACATTTGCCTTATTCAAAAAATTAATAAACACAAACCTCGCGTTAGGTGGCGGTGGCGAATAAGAACACCTAATTTTCTTAAAATTTTAGAGAAATGAGAAAAATGTAATAAAAATGCCTTGCTTCCGAATGTATCTCACTTTATTTCAATTTTAATATAAATAAATAGTAAACCACCTACGTTCACATATGGTATTAAACGTTTTACTACTGTTAGTGTAGGTTCGTGCCCGTTGGTTGTTTAGAAGCAGTTAATGAAAAGAAGGATAATCATAAAATAAATGCCTAATGGTGCAGTTAGGTTATAACAACAATTTTTCTAATCGAAACTAAAACAGTTAACTGTCATATGTGTGCATGTGCAAAAGGATTTGAGTTATTGGAGAAGAAATCCTAATTGTGAGAAAAGTAATCTTAAATAATAAACTATATAGTTTCAATTCACGTTTGCTTTGGTATGGGTCATTTTTCCTGTATATGAACGACAAACTAAACAGGTATATATAAAACAAGATAATAATAAATAAACCGTCTCGTGTTTTCTTACTACTATCCCAGATAAAGACGAAAAAGCATACAATAAGTTCAAACTCAAGTTGTTCAACTTTGCAACCTCTGAGCTGCACTAGACCTGCTACGCTGCTTATTACCAAATTACGTACAAACTACAATGCGGTTCGAGTTTTATATTAAGCGTTTTTGACCTATTATTTTAAAAACACTACCTAGCGAAATGGTAAATAGCTTCAAGGTCAAGACACAGATAACACCCATAGCGTATTTTTTTCCCTGCTATTTCGTTCCATTATACCGACAAAATGAAACACCGTAAAGATTTCCTGGTAATTGTCGGAAATTTTACCAGCGTACGTGTCGGATGGGGTAACAGCAGTACGTCAACAAATTGTCAAGTTCAGGAGTACGAAAATATTCGTCAAGGTAAAATGCATAACAACGCTAAAAATGTAACCGTCAATTTTCCGCCACTATAATTTTTTCATTTGTTTTTGTTATGATCGAAAAAAACAAAAACCCACGCCGGTATTGTTTTGGAATAAAGTGAAACACGTTCATGCCATTTCGTAATCCAGTTCAAATGTTCCAATACACTTACAAGTAGATCGCGGAAAAATAACAATAATTAGTATGCACCGCTATAGATTTTTACTTTCCCTTTCCTTTTAAACGAACAGCTTAAATCATAAAAACGTTAGAGAGTGACACGTCATTGTCGCGACTTTCCAAAGATAATTTTTTATTGAAAATATAAATGGCATTTTTGATGTTTTGGTACTCCTATGCAGGGCGATTCAATATAGTGCGAAGATGAGGAATATGTTATTATATATTAAAAAACACCCATAGTTTGTTTTTCGTTCACGTTAGGTTAATTTTACAGGCATCCTTAAAAAACATATTAACCGATATGTTCATTTTCTTTTATTTCCTTCAATAATGAATAGAATATTAAAACTTCCTCCCAGTAATGCATTGTGCACTTACAGGGCGTACCAACGAAGACGGAACTTTCGTACTTTTGAACAAAAATAAAATATTTTCGAAATTAATGAAATGGTGCAGGAATATAACAGCGCTGTTGAAAGTTCTCGATCGACAGCTTTAATATTACTGGTAAGGTAAGGTAAGGCTTTTGACACCGCTTAGTCACTCCCTTTTCTGTGCAAAACTTTTATTATGGCTTTAAACTCAAAACAATCAGATTAATTCATAGTTACTTAGAAAAAAGATCACAGCAGAGATTGATAATGGCAGATCGGGGGCATTAGTGTTGGACGGAGATGTACCTCAAGGATCTCTTCTGGGGTCTTGTGTTGTTGTTGTCTTCACTTCGGATATGATTGATTACATACATACATACAGCAGTGTAATATACATCAATATACCCAATTATATGCACGTTTTTCAAGATCTGAGGTTGCTGACGTTTTAAAGAAGGTAAACAGAAGTTTAGAAAAGACAATAACGGGCTAAATCCAAAGAAGTCGGCCATTTTAAAGATTGGAATAGTAAACTACTTGACATTTCAATACTCATTCTTAACAGAAAGTTAAAAAAAATATATTGCCTGAAGCATTCGTTTTTGTCACACAAACTATTGCCATTTTGTATTTGGTCCCTGTTTGGATTTGACCATTAGAGCAAAACTCATGTATTCGTTTCATATTCAATCTAAAACTCAAAGACCACGTTAGTGAAAAGCTGAAAGAATTATGCTGGCTTAACTCTAAGACTAAGCTAAGCTAGACTCAAATTCCACCTAGCTTCCTGTTTACATAAGATGCTCAAAACTGGATTCCCCGAATATTTGATGGAAAAATTACGACCCGAATTACTGTTCATAATCCTTGTACGCGTTCCAACAATATTCATGAGATCCCAGAAATGCACAAAGCTACGTCTCAGAATTCATGTTCTTATGTGTCTGCTAATTTAAGTTGCTAAACCACCTCGAGATAAGGCTGGTCGGAAACTCATCCAGACCGCCTTTTAAATAAAATTTTAGAAAGAATCTGTTAATGGAAATTATATAAGTTAGATTTTAGTACTTTTGTTAATTTTTTTATTTATTATTTTAATTTTTGTTAATCTATTACTATTGTTAGCTCACTTACTCAGTTCTTTAAATGTATTAGAAATAAAAATAAATAAAAATTTGCTTTATTGTAGGTTGTTTTATGGATTTTTTTACATGCTCGGTTAAGTTAACAGCTCAGATGCCCGAGTGAAACATAAAGGCGTTTTTATATATTTATTTATTATGTAGGTATTTTTTTTTTGATTTTTAGAAAACAATATATATTTTTATGTTGACTTTTATTAAAAATACAATTTTACGATTGCCGTTTTATATCGTTTATACGGTAACTACGAAAAAGGACATAAAAAATACATATTTTCCAACAATTTTATATATTGGGTTGTTCGGAAAGTCATTTCGTTTTTTTTGAGGAACATGAAAGACAGTTTTCGTATAATGAATAAATATTTTATTAAATTATATATTGGCCATTCTGGTCCAACACCTTTTGCCATCTTTCTGGCAGTAACATAATTCCCCTCTCATAAAAGTTTTGGTCCTTGCTGGCAAAAAACTGGTTCAGGTGGTTTTTGACATCTTCATTTGAGGTAAAGGTTTTGCCATCCAAAAAATTTTGCAGGGACCGGAACAAATAGTAGTCGGAAGGCGCCAGATCTGGAGAATATGGTGGATGTTGCAGTACGTCCCATTCAAGCTGTAAAAGTTTTTGGCGAGTGACCAAACTTGTGTGAAGTCTCGCATTATCCTGGTGGAACACTACACCCTTCCTGTTGATTAATTCGGGCCTCTTCTCTTTAAGTGAATCATTCAATTTGTCCAGTTGATGACAATAGACTTCTGAATTAATCGTTGTATTGTCCGGCAAAAGCTCAAAAAAAACGATTCCTTTGACATCCCACCAAACGGAGAGCATCACCTTTTTTTGGTGAATGTTGGCTTTTGACACGCTTTGAGCCGGTTCATCTTTTCTGCTCCATGACCTCTTGCGTTTAACATTGTTGTATACAACCCATTTTTCGTCCCCAGTAATAATCCGCTTCAAAAATGGATCATTTTCTTGACGTTTGAGGAGCGAATCACACACATCAACGCGACGACACAAATTTCGCTCCGTAAGGACATGGGGCACCCACACATCGAGCTTCGAGGTTAAACCCATGCCTTTCAAATGGCCATAAACAGTCGAATTCGACAAATATAATCTCTCACCGATCTCTCGTGTGGTTATTCGCCGATTTGCATCAACTAATGCCTTTATCGCATCTTTGTCAGCTTCGACCGGCCTTCCAGACCGTGGTGCATCTTCGACATCAAAATTGCCGGATCGAAATTTTGCAAACCAGTTCTGGCACTGGCGTACTGTTAACACGCCTTCTCCATACACATCCGTCAATTTTTTCTCGCTTGGACAGCATTTTTACTTTTTCTGATGTAAAAAAGTAAAATATGACGAAAATGCTGCTTATTGCTGTACATATTTAAAAGGGCACCAACCAAAAACTACTGCGTAGAATTAATAGAACTTTTTCACACACAAGCCTTGCAATATCAGCTCTCAAGACATATAATGGTTATGCGGCTTAAGTGTGAAGTTGGTTTCGAAAAAACGTAATTAAGTCCTCTGACGGGAAAAAACGAAATGACTTTCCGAACAACCTTATAATATCCGTTGCATCATTGGGTATTATAAAGTAGGGAATGCAAAAACATTCAGTCCGTTTAGGGAACGGTTCATGCATATCACGCGCCCAAAGTTCTTAATTTTGATTGAAATATTTTTTTGACAACACTTTTTATTTTGGCTTTTTTTGAATGAGAAAAATCAAAAATAACCCCACACTAAGTTTCTCTCGACGCGCGTCTGCAAAACCAAAACGTCGTTACTTAATATACCCATCTATTTACATTCCGCAAAGACAAAAACCCGACTAATTAGTATTAATTACTAAACCACAACCGCATGTGAGCGGTGCGTATTTAATCAAAATCCTTCGTGAGGAAAAACACGTGATGGCCGCAAGCGAGACGCGACGGCGGGATGAGGCGACGGTCAAAATTTGAAAATTATTTTTTTCCTCGGTCCGAATTTTTCTGCGGCTAAGAAAAAAAATGATTTTTTTGTTAGCACCGATGTTGCACAGTTTCTGGCGGATATTGAAGCCGTAACGTGGTGAAATTCTGTTCAACAGACGAAAACCACAATACTATAACGATCCGTTTCGACACTACCGCCATAGGTAATGTCTCGTGACTCAGTTACAATGAAAAATTTGTCAATTTTGCATATCGCGATTGATTAATTTTTTTTTTGTATAGGTTATTTTGACATCTTCCGTTTCAAACCTACGGTGGAGCAATCGGGACGAGATGCATCGATAAAACCTTTCTTAAAAATTTCCGACACGGTGGGAGAAA